CACCATATCCTTAAAAGGGCCACGAGGGTATGGGCAACTAACTTAAACTCGTGAGGTAATATCAAAGTGCCCCATTTCCTCCTCTGTATCGTGCACCCTTTTATTTACTTTTGCATTCTCACCCCCAATCCACTTAATTCTTCAACACTGGCTATTTGATAGTCTAAAAGCAAGGTTTTGTGGAAAAGGAAACTTTCCTGAAATCTCTAAGCCTAGAGTTTTCTGCGACTAGAAAGGTCACTCTTCCCCACTTGGTGGTGAGAATAGCTCTTTTATTTAGGAATACAGCTAACCCAATATAAGACCATGGGTTTTAGAGCCGGACAGACCTAGATCTGAATACCAGCTCTTCCACTTCTAGCTGTACAACCTAAGTCAAATTAATTAAATCTTTACTAGCTTAGTTTCTTTGGGGTTTTTTTTTTTTGGTTTTTTTTTTTTTTTTAAATTTATCTTATTTTTGGCTGCTTTGGGTCTTCGTTGCTGCACGCGGGCTTTCTCTAGAGGAGGCAAGCGGGGGCTACTCTTCGTTCGGCGCACGAGCTTCTCATAGTGGTGGCTTCTCTTTGAGGAGCATGGGCTCTAGGCACGTGGGCTTCAGTAGTTGCGGCTCACGGGCTCTAGAGCGCAGGCTCAGTAGTTGTGGCACATGGGCTTAGTTGTTCCATGGCATGTGGAATCTTCCCGGACCAGGGCTTGAACTCGTGTCCCCTACATTGGCAGGCAGATTCTTAACCACTGCGCCACCAGGGAAGCCCCAGTTTCTTCATTTTTAAAATGAGGATAGTATCTTCAACCTCAGAATATTCTATAAAGATTAAATATGCATTAGTATAAGTGTTTAATAAATAGTGGTTACTGCTAGTACCACTAAGTCAGTCTAGCTGTCTTTAGTATTTCTGCATGACTTGATCTATTGGAAATCTCTCCTCAGAGTTTTTAGTTCCCGTAAGTTTGAGAAGAAAATCTTCACTTACCCCCTGTAATCATCAAGAGAACGGTTAAAAGCATTCCCAGTTTTGAAGCTTCGTCTTCCATCTAATGTTTTTCCCCTCTTTTCCACCTTCGTTGATTCAGTGAATTCACCATCCAGGGGAACTGATAGGCATCTGGATGGACTCTTTGGCCTGGTTTTTATCCATAGCCTGCACTGATCTCCAGCCAACTTTTTACTCTGGGGCAGAGCTCAGCAAATAAGATAGCTTGTTTTTATAAATAAAGTTTGGTTGAAACACAACCAAGACTGTTTACATACTGTCTTTGATTTCTTTCTCACTGCAACAGCAAAGTTGAGTCATCATGACAGAGACAGGATCCTACAAGACTAAAATATTTACTGTCTGGCCCTTTAAGAAAAAGTGTGATGGGCCCTGATCTAGAAGAAAGGTAACTGTAGGTTTGAGGGAGCCACAATCAGAACAAAGAAAGGAGGTGGAATGCCAAGAAATGATTTATCTATTTTGCGTTTTTGCCTGTGCCTGGCTTGTTTAATGCCCAGTCGGGTATGGATCAGAAATGTGTTTGACTGGCTCATATTGTGAACTTGGGAAGAAGATAATCCAGTGGATCATGTTAGCAACCCATAGAGCTTTTTAAAAGCTCAAAGGTAATGAGATTGTGAGTGCTAGTGTTTTTTTTTTTTTCCCCATAAATGTGGTTTAAAACTGTTCATTAGCTAGTAAGGTGATAATGAGTTACAAGTTCTCATTTGTTTTTGTGGTAGTATCTAGCATTCAGGATTTTATTGGAGCTTTAAAGTAGAATTTCTTAGGTATAAAAAAAGTCTTCCTAGTGAATATATTTTTAGCAAATTAAAAATTCATTAGGACCATCAGCAGGGGGCTGTCATGAAATATTAGCTTTTAGACTTTGTACCTGTTTCTCCTTACAGGGGATATGAAAGGTGAGGTCTATCCATTTGGCATAGTTGGGATGGCCAACAAAGGGGATTGCCTACAGAAAGGGGAGAGCGTCAAGTTCCAGTTGTGTGTCTTGGGCCAAAATGCACAGACTATGGCCTACAACATCACACCCCTGCGTAGGGCCACAGTGGAGTGTGTGAAAGATCAGGTAAGTGGTTATATCTCTTGATCTGAATTTGATCCTTTTATGAGTTGGTAACCAAATAGTAACCAAAACCTTGAAAATTTTTCAGCCCAGGGGGAACCATCAACATTCATTTGGTTTTTATTTCCACTTTACCCCCCTTTTCAGTGATTTGAAGTAGCTTATTAAAAACACAGAGAAAACCACATGGAAAGAAAAAACGGCAATAGTAGCAAAAGGAAAGTAAGAATAGTATTAATAGCTAACACAATGGGGAAAATAAGTTTGGAGTGAGATTTCCAGAATAGAAAGACTATAGTTTTTCATACTTGAGCTCAGAACTTCTTTTACAGACCACACAAAGAAAGAAACCATGTGTAGAAGTGTTCATAAAATAAGCTTCGGGCAAACAAAACTATTCCTGGTACTTAAATCTCAAGGAAATCTCTCTGAGTCCTCAGAGAGGACATTTTTTGGTATCAGTACAGCGACTAACATTTTGTATGGCTGTTTCTAATAATGCCATAACCCAGCTTAATAATTTTGGAAGGTATCAAAACAATGCATATGTTCAAGTAACAGCTTCCTAATGATTTTGCTTAATTCAGAAGCGTAGTTCATACAATATATGTAGGCACAAGGTAACCTTTCTTTGTTTCTCAGGCTATGATAGAGTGGATGGCAGTGGTTTCAAAGATACATTTCTTCCCTGACAAGTTTTGCAGACCCATATGCTGTTGTTATAGCCCAGGCAGCGAGCATCAGCACTGACGCCACATTTTATAAACCCTACTAGCTAGGGGCAAATTGTGCTTCATTCAAAGTGAGTTTCTTTTCCCTGCTGTGTGGTATGTCTTTTTTATGCTGTCTTTTTAAAATTTCAGTTTGGCTTCATTAACTATGAAGTAGGAGATAGCAAGAAGCTCTTTTTCCATGTGAAAGAAGTTCAGGATGGCATTGAGCTACAGGCAGGAGATGAGGTGGAATTCTCAGTGATTTTTAATCAGCGCACTGGCAAGTGCAGTGCTTGTAATGTTTGGCGAGTCTGGTGAGTTCTTTGTTGTTGTTGATTAGTAACCTCCCTGGACTGTCTCTTTCGTAATCTCTGCTTTATCATATTTTTTCACTTTTCCATCACTGCTTTTTTTTTAATCCTCTTCTGCCACTTTCTGGTTATTTCTTCATTGTCTAAATTTTGTAGTTTAGCATTTCTGGCACTATGTTTTTGTTTTGTTTTAATAACAAAATAGCATGAGAGGAGCTGGGAGTCTCTGGAAATATTTCTTCATATTTTCCTTTTCTAATGTTTTTCCATACCTGCTACATTGTTTTATGTGTCTGTGGAACTGGTTTTCTGGTTGCAGACCAGTCTAGGGATGACCCTCACCCAAATGATTCTTCCAGCTCCTAAGCAGTAATAAACATTGAGTTCAGAATAAAAACATAAACTTGTCTGCCCTGTCTTGCTAGTTAGTTAGTTGGCTAGGTGAGGCAAGAGTCTCCCCTCATTAAAACTGAGTCATTTGGGTAGTTAGATAGAAGACACACTCCTCTGCATGTACTTTTCTTCCCACCAAGTGTTGCTTCTTCTCACCTATTGACTTTGTTACAGCGAGGGCCCCAAGGCTGTTGCAGCTCCACGACCTGATAGGTTGGTCAATCGCTTGAAGAACATCACCCTGGATGATGCCAGTGCTCCTCGCCTAATGGTTCTTCGTCAGCCAAGGGGACCAGATAACTCAATGGTATGAGGGCATACAAGGTTTTGGGCGGATGGGGGCAACTGATAGACTAGCATACTACTTGAGAACCTATTTTAGCAGAACTCAAAGAGCTTACTTTTACCAAGGTGCTTCAGTATTGCTGTCATAACTAGTTAGCATCCCTGCACATTGGTTCAGCCCCTAACGTAATGGTTGCTTACAGTAAGAGGAACATTTCTTGGTGTTCCTGATACTTTGAACATAGTTTAGGAAGGCTTACTATAGATTTCCTCCTCTGCAAAAGAATTGGTGGTGATTGAGAGTAATGCTTTGGTAGTCCCTTTTGGAATTGTGAATGTACAATGATTGTCATACACCCAGGTCATTAACTGCAATTTTATTTCCTCACAGGGATTTGGTGCCGAAAGAAAGATCCGTCAAGCTGGTGTCATTGACTAACCACATCCACAAAGCACATCATTAATCCACTATGATCAAGTTGGGGGGATTCTGGTGAAGGGTTCTGAATATCTCCCTCTTCATCCCTCCCAAAATCTGGAATACTTATTCTATTGAGCTGTTACACCAGTTTTAACACCTTCCTCGTGTTATGTTTAAAAAAATAAATAAATTTAAGAAAACCATTTTAAAATTATGCACAGTTGCAGCCTGGAAAACTTAAGGTGGCGCCTTATAGAATCAATTTTAGGAGCTTTATTTGGTGCATTTAACGCAACTGGTAATTGCAAAATCCACTTCTGCCTGTGTAAGTGAAAAATATAGACTGTTACCTTGTTGGCCCTATGAAATTCTGCACTTGATACTTAGTATATATACTCTACCTTCATTACTTTTGGCAAGATGTTCTGCCTTAGCACTCAGTTGCATTCTTTTTCCTTTTCTGTTCATTATGCTTTAATTCTGAGGACCATATGATGGTAGAATATATTAAAAATTACAAAAATTTGTATAGGCAAACCAGTTCTTTAAGTTGATGGCCAAATGTTAAAATGTTATTTTTCATATCATTTATAATCTTATCCCAGTCCACGTAATGAAGTTTGGTTAGATTTCAGTGAAAATTATCTTCCAGGGTAGTTCCCCCCACCCCCCCGATGGGGGTTGTAACTTTACCACAATTAGTATATATGGTGCAGAATTTCATGCAAATGAGGTGTGCCAGCAGTGTGATAATTTAAACGTATTTAAAAACAAAAGGATGAATGCACAAACTTGCTGCTGCTTAGATCACTGCAGCTTCTAGGACCCAGTTTCTTTTACTGATTTCAAAACAAAACAAAAACAAACAAAAAATAATAAAAAAGTTGTGCCTGAAATGAATCTTGTTTTTTTTATAAGTAGCCGCCTGGTTCCTGTGTCCTGTAAAAAGTACAGGCACTTGACCCTTGGTGTAGCTTCTGTTCGGCTTTATATCATGGGAAAGGATTGGTCTGATTTCTTGGCCCTCATCTTGAATTGGCCACGTACAGGGTCCCTGGCCAGTGGACTGAAGGCTTTGTCTAAGATGACAAGGGTCAGCTCAGGGGATGTGGGGGAGGGTGTTTTATCTTCCCCGTTGTCGTTTGAGGTTTTGATCTTCTCTGGGTAAAGAGGCCATTTATCTTTGTAAACACGTTAACACTTTTGCTTTCTCCAGTTTTCTGTTAATGGCGAAAGAATGGAAGCGAATAAAGTTTTACTGATTTTTGAGACACTAGCACCTAGCGCTTTCATTATTAAAACGTCCTGTATGGGAGGGGCGGGTCTGGGTGCGGCCTGCCGCGTGACTCCTGGGTCGGAGGCCCACGTGGCCGGGGCGGGGACTCCGGCGCCTGGGGCGCCGACTGATTGCGTAGCGGGCGGGGCCGGAAGTGCCGCTCCCTGGTGGGGGCTGTTCATGGCGGTTCCGGGGTCTCCAACATTTTTCCCGGTTGTGGTCCAAATCTGTCCGAAGCGGAGGCAGTGGAGCTTGAGGTAAGGGTCTGGCGTGTGTAGCGTTCGACTTTGGAGCATGCTGACGACTCCTTGTTGCCAGGAATCGAGCGGAATCTACGAGCTGGAGACAAAGGCCCTGGGCGGGGGGTCCTTCGTTTTGAGCCCTACGGGGGAGTTCTTTGGAGACAGGCGGGATAGAGAGAAGGGGAGACGGTCTGGATTCCGCCCCCCCCAGAGCTCAGAAGATTTAAAGGAGGAGGAAGGGGGGTTTTCTTTACCTTAGGCTGAGGGCGGGGCCCAAGGGCTATTGAAAAATAGACGAGGGTGGGGGTAGCTAGAAGACTAGTCCAGAATTCTGAGATCCACAGTAACCTGCAAGTATTTTTGCACTCCTGAATCACTTTGAGAACCAAGTGGCGATGAACGTGTACGGAACCAATACATTTCAGACTCTGGTTTTAGTTACTGTTGATTACAGAAAGCTCTGAAGTACTGTAGATGTGGTTCGACAGTTAACCCTAATTGCTGCTTTCCCACAGGTTCTTGCTGGTGTGAAATGACTGAGTACAAACTGGTGGTGGTTGGAGCAGGTGGTGTTGGGAAAAGCGCACTGACAATCCAGCTGATCCAGAACCACTTTGTAGATGAATATGATCCCACCATAGAGGTGAGGCCCAGAGGCAGTCCGCTGACCATACCTCTCTCTTTCGGTTTACTCTTAACCCATTCCTTTTCCCATACGTTTCACCTATTCCTTAGCTAAAGGAATAATCAGGAGAGAAAATAAAAGTTATTTGGGGCACTGTGTTCAGTAATACAATAAGTAAAGCTTTACCTGTTTTTGGAGAAGAGTTCACTTTTATTAGCTACTGATGATTTTCTAAAAAGTTTACAGTTTTTAACAGTTTTGAAAACGGTTACAAACTCAGTGTTGGACTCATTTAGTTTCTCCACATATGACAGCTCCATTAAAAAGAAACACAGGTCATAGAATACCTGAATGATAGCAGGATGGAGATAAAGGATTCAGAGATCTGAGTGTTTCTTAGCCACTTGAAGCAGCTGAGACTGTGGGTTGGGGAAGAAAGAGCATGAGATTTTGAGTCACTGTGCCTAGGAATACAGTCCCTGTTTGCAGTTAGTTATATGATAGTGAGCAAATCACTTTTCTCATCTATTAAATTACCATAAACCTGTCTTGCCTGACACCCAGGGGATGTTGTGAAAAATCAAAATACGTTAAATTTTTGTGGATGCTAACGCACTGTGTAATTATCACTTATATAAAGTTTCTGTTGTTTTTGTGGGAGTTCATGTTATAGATGGGCTTCAGTAAATGTCATCTAAAGTCCTTTAAGTAAAGAGTTTGTAATCTTATTCAGTTTAGAAATGTCTAACTCTAGAGATTATTTTAATCCACATCCTGGTCTTCGTACCACCCAGCCATTGAGTGTTTAATGCAAGCTAACTCTAATATAGCCATTATTAAAAATTAGTCATTAGTCCTTGGCAAAGTTTTATTTTAGGCTTACCAGCTTTAGTATTAATGGTTAGAACATTTTTCAGAGTTTTGTTTTATTTGTTTGCGAGGTAATTTACATAAGGTATATAAATCTTACATCTATAGCTCAGTGGCTTTAAATTTGTGTACACTTATGTAACCGCCGCATAGATAAAAATATAGACTATTTCCAGTGCCCAAGAGAGTTCTCTCATGCCCCTTTCTAGTCAGTAAACCCCCCTATCCTGCCAGGAAATGACCACTTCTCTGACTTCTATTATCATAAATTAGTTTGACTAAAACCTATCTTTATCATTTTAATTTTGCTTATTTCCTCAGAACACTCATACATTTGACCCTATTTCATGCTTTAAGGAAATTTGGACAATGTGAATTCTATGTTAATTTGAAAGTATATTACAGTCCCGCAATGGCGTGAGTTACAGAGGCGCTGTTCGATGCAAATGGGCTGGCAAACTATGTTGCATACTGTTTCTGGAGCCAGATCTTTACTAAGTGTGATGAGGTTATTTTCTTTGAACTGAATTCCCAGAACATAAATATTAAAATACAAGTAAAATTTTTGCCTTAGAGTCAAATTGAAATTTTTTTTTTAATATGATCTATGCATGTCTATCTTTCCAAGGAATTAATGTAACTATACCACGTTTGGAACCTTTAGGAATTTGATTCAGGAATATTCCCCAGAGATACAGTCTGTCATGATGAGAAAAATATTTTGATATTATAACCTTGTCTGAAATAAAAGGTATTTGTGTATTTAATCATAAACACAAAAGATGGTGCATCCTGGACCAAGTTATAATTGGTGGAGGTATGTTTAGAATTGTAAATGGACAATAAACAACTCAAAGAAGAAGTACAGTTCATACTTCAGTGAACGTAATCTCTAGTCTAAGTGCGGTAGAACTGTCTTTTCAATTACCATGTTTTCTTCATCTTTTCCAGGAACAGAGTGACCACATTTTCCTTTCTATAGGCATATAGCATTTGGGGCTTTTTTCCTAGGGTGACATTAAGTACTTTCTGTTTGTGATTATACATCAGCAGTTTGAGGGATAAACCAAAGAGACAGAATTGGACTTGGTTAGGAGCTTATTTAACCTTAGCAATAGCATTGCATTCCCTGTGATTTTTAATAAAAATGGAATCTCCCTCTCTCCCTGCCCCCCTCCCCTCCACACCCCAGGATTCTTACCGAAAACAGGTGGTTATAGATGGTGAAACCTGTCTGTTGGACATACTGGATACAGCTGGACAAGAGGAGTACAGTGCCATGAGAGACCAATACATGAGGACAGGCGAAGGCTTCCTTTGTGTATTTGCCATCAATAATAGCAAATCATTTGCAGATATTAACCTCTACAGGTACTAGGAGCATTGTTTTTTCTGAAAGGATGATCTTTAAGTGTGTTCTGAAGTTTTGGGGTGAGAATGAGGATACCACACTAGGGAAGATGCAATTTTTTCATTATGAAAAGAATTGCTTTTAGGTTGTGACATTGAGAATCTGGGGTTATTACTGAAAGTTAATACTGGAGTTTATTTTATATAAGCTAGTATGTCTAGAATGCCTGATAATACATAAATGAAGCTTGCTTGCTAATGGGAGTGATTCAGAACTAGAGGTATTATGAGAGACCACAGAGAGGAAAACACCTCTGAGAAACATTCTTCAGTAAGTAATAGAGAAGATAGCGGGAAGAAACAAATGGGGGGAGGGGGGTTAGATAAAGATGAAAGCAAGGCAAAGGGGGGTTAGATAAAGATGATCTTTCTCCACAGAACCTTAAAGTTTCAAAGCTCAGTTGGACCATAAAAATTCTAATACAACATTCTTATTTTACAGAAACAAAGTTCAGAAGGTGGTTTGTTAGGTTTTCATAGTCATGATTATTATTCATAGCAGAGCCAGGACCAAAAACCCAGGGCTCCTTTTTCTTAGCTCTGTGTTCTTTAGGCAGAATAATATAATGGCTAAGAATACAGACTCTGCCTGGGTTGAAACTTGGCTCCATCATCTCTTAGCCATGGAACTTTGGGGCAAACTACTAAATCGCTGGGCCTCAGTTTCCTTATCTATAATGTGGAGATGGTAGTACCTACCAAGAGTTGCTCTGAAAATTAAACGAGTTAATAAATATGTGAATCACTCAGAGCAGTGTTTAGCACAGAGTAAATGCTACACAAGCGTTCTGCCTGTAGCCTGAGTCTTGGTGTATGCTCCATCCATATGACGATGTCAACTCTCAGAAACAAACTAGTCTAAAAGTGGTTTTCTTCCCCTAAACCTGCTCTACTTTCCATTTTCTCTCTGCAGTTAATAGCAGCACTTAATAAAATGCTTAGCACTTGGCAAGCACCACAAAACTATTTGCTGAATTTCTAGAAATCGTTTTTCTCCTTAGGTTGTCTTATATTATCCCTTCACATAGGTTACTGCCACACACCAAAGCTCAGTTCTGCAGCTAGCCAGTGAAATGCATTTCAAGTACATGACTTTGTATGTAATCCCAGGGTAGAGTCTAGAGCAATGCTGTGCAGTATGGTAGCCACAAACCATATGTGGTTTAAATTTAAATTCGTTAAAATTGGGCTTCCCTGGTGGTGCAGTGGTTGAGAGTCTGCCTCCCAGTGCAGGGGACATGGGTTCAAGCCCTGATCCGGGAAGATCCCACAGGCCGTGGAGCAGCTAAACCTGTGCGCCACAACTACTGAGCCTGTGTGCCACAACTACTGAAGCCCGTGCACCCAGAGCCTGTGCTCCACAACAAGAGAAGCCACTGCAATGAGAAGCCTGCACAGCACAACAAAGAGTAGCCCCTGCTTGCCACAGCAACAAAGAAAAGCCTGCGCACAGCAACGAAGACCCAACACAGCCAAAAATAAATTTATTTTTAAAAAAATAAATAAATTTATTTTAAAATAAATAAATTTATTTTAAAATAAATAAATTCATTAAAATTAAACAACTTAAAAATCAGTTCGTGGGCCCCATTAGCAACTGACTTTTCAGGTGTTCAGTAGCTTCACATGACTAGCATATATAGTTGGACAGTGCAGCTAGAGAACATTTCCATCATCATAATAAGTCCTATTGGACAGGGTTGATCAAGAGAATCTGGAACAGTAGTTTCCAAACTGCTGTGTGGTATGTCTTACTTGTCATTGAAGAGAGAACTGTCAGTTGGGAGTTCCAAATCCTTTAGTCCCCTGTTAATAAGAGCAGTTCTGGTGTTTCCTATTTTATATCTTGGACTTCCAGCTATAATTTGTTTGAAGAAAATGTTTGGACACCACGCATCTAGAGAAGTGGATAGACTGTCTTTCATTAAATACTGTCACTCTCAAGGGAGCTTCAAAAAGTTATTTGGAGGCAGTAAGATTTACTTTTTATACTTCAGACCTTAACCTGGAGTGTGATTTCGAGTTGCTATTTAACTCCAGAGCCAAGCTTTTTGGAGAATCAAGGAGCCTAACAGGGACATGTGTCAAGGTAGAAGGTGAACTGGTACTTGGCTTCCCTGTGGCTGCTGCATCAAGTCTACACCAGTCTTCTTAGTATGCAAGGCCTTTTATAAGTAGAAAAAAAGTGAAACTCAGTATAGAAGCTAATAGGGCTAGGTGAAATTTGCTAGATTTTCTTTTTTTCCCTAGCTGTTTATTCCTTCCTAAACGTTTATTCTTCTGTTATGATAACATATTCCCTTTTTTAGGGAACAGATTAAGCGTGTAAAAGACTCAGATGATGTACCTATGGTGCTAGTAGGAAACAAGTGTGATTTGCCAACAAGGACAGTTGACACAAAACAAGCCCATGAACTGGCCAAGAGTTATGGGATTCCATTCATTGAAACCTCAGCCAAGACCAGACAGGTATAGTACAGCTTTTAGCATCTGGCAAGGGTTTATTTAAGGCAGAAAAGTTTGATTGATTGACTCTTCACTAGAGACGTGATCCACATTCTTTGCTGTTTTGGATTTTTTTAATACTGTTCTATTTTTTTAATCTTCAGTTTAAACCCAAAATGAATTTATTAATATTCAAGTGTGGTTTCTTTTTTACTCATGCAAGTTAACATGCACAAATATTTCTAAAATGAAGACCCTTGATTAAAGATACTTAAAACATTAGTCCTTCATCCATCAACACCAGCTACTATTTAAGGCATAGGCCCTCCTGAATGGAATCTTTAGATCTGGTAGTTCTGTATGTCCCATGTTATCCATTTTCCTTTACTTAAATGTTTTCTTTGCAGAAAGTGCTATTGTATATCATCCTGCTAATGTGACTCAATAGGAATGCTGAATCAGCCTATTTTATCAGCTAATAATTTAATAATTGCAATTTTAAATCCACATAAAGAAGTACAAATGAGAGAGAACTTACAACTTGGGTTGTGTCTGTTAAGCTGTCTTTATCATTTTCTCTCTTTTATAGGGTGTTGAAGATGCCTTTTACACACTGGTAAGAGAAATACGTCAGTACCGAATGAAAAAACTCAACAGCAGTGATGATGGGACTCAAGGTTGTATGGGATTGCCATGTGTAGTGATGTAACAAGGTGAGCATGTGGTCTCTTGCCATAATTATAAACATTATTTAGGCAATTTGGAGGAGTGTTGCTATTATCTTTTCTGTGTTGCTATTTAACAGAGTTTCTGCTCACTTACAACTGTAAAATAAAGAACTTTCCTTATGGCACCCTTTCTGAGAGTACCACAGCCTAAACTGTTTTTAAAACATTTAATTATTTTACAGACTGTTAAATTTTCAATAATATTAGAAATTAGAAGACATTGTTTATGAAATGTATTACCAGGAGCTTGAAGGATCACTACATGATGATGACATGGTGTGTATTCTTTTCTCATAGATACTTTTAAAGTTCTAGCATCAGAAAAGAGCCACCGTCAAGGTAGGACGGGTTTGGAAACGAATGTATTATCATTTATGTTGATTTTGTAACCTTGTCTTTCTAATACTCTCTATGTACCATTTATACAGTTTCCATCTTTATTTCAGCTGCACTGACACCTTGGTCCTGACTTCCCTGGAGGAGAAGTATTGCTGTTGCTATCTTCAGTCTCACAAAGAAGCTCCTGCGATTTCCCCAACTCTCAGTAGATCAGTATAATATTCTCTATTTGAGAAGTTCTCAGAGTAACTACCTCCTCACTTGGTTGTCTGGCCAGAGAAATGAACCTCTTGTTACTCCCAGTATTTCTCCACCCTGGGTTCTCCCCGAGCACACACAAACCAACCTCCACCACCCCAGGTTTTTCATCTGAAAAGCAATTAATGCTCTGAAACAGAGAACCAAACTGTAGAAACATGAAATTCTGTAGAAAACAATGTCTTGAGCTCTGAAGTAGCAACTGCTGGTGATTTTTATTTTCCTTTTTACTGTTGAACTTGGAACTATGTTGGTTTTTGGAGAAATGTCATAAATTACTGTTTTGCTGAGAATATAGTTAATGTTGCTGTTTGGTTTGTTTGTAATGTTATCAGCTATATTCTATAAACTGGCATCTGCTCTGTATTCAGAAATACAAAAGTGAATACTGACTTTTTTGAGTCTATCCTCGTCTTCTCGACTTTCTTGTAATTAAATCTGACTTTCACAATGAAGTGCCTTTTTCCTGGAAGTGGTTTGTAGACTTCCTTTACAATACTTCGGTGGAATAGATGTCTTAGAAACTGTTATACATGAAAATGATTGTGTGAGATATGTCTGTGACCCGTCTAGCTTTGAGGGAAAGATATACCAATATGATAGCAGATGCCGTTTCTTACATGTATAAAGTTAATTTTCTAGAGACCTGTTTTGGGGCTCTCCCAAGAGAAAGGTGAGACTATAAATGATTAGGAATAATTTTGCTTACTTTCTACCTAGTCTCCACTTTTTTTTTGTTTTGGTAGTTTACTACCTGCAAAATGTATATAATTTGTTTCTTATAGCTTACTGATAATCTAATGTTCAATGAACTTCCATTCATATTTAAATTTGGGTCATAGCACAAAGTCTATATTTGCAGGTGTTCAAAATTATAAAATTAGATGCAGGTTTATTTAATAGCTGTGATCAATGATTCTCAAGCCTCAAATATGTTAATAGACAAATTTTCACTGCATATCATGGTAATTATTCATGTATATAATTGCCCTCGGTCCCCTTCTCACCCCATCCCCTGTCCTTCACCCCATAGCAGTGGCTTGATTATTTCAGTTGAGTAAAGCGTGGTGCTAATAGACCAGGGTCACAGTTTCAAAACTTCAGTGAGCCAGTTAGCATCACAGAGAGAGAAATTCTTCCACATTTGCTCATTGCACCATTAATTCCAGCTTAGTAGTTTTGCCAGATGCATGTGGTTAGTCCTGCAAGGAGAGAAGAGGTCAGTTAGCACAAATTCTTAACCATGACTGGAAAAACTTGTTATCCTGAGAAAGGTCAGCTTAGAAGTCTTTATAAATAAAGGATCTAGACTCTGTTTTTAGCTACATGGAAACCAAATTAAGCCAATATTTTTTCTCATGTTTTTGAGAATGAGGATACCTCAGATCAAAATTTTTAAATTTTCCTTTATTCATAATGTTCTTTGAGGGTTTAAAATGGGATGTTGATTAATTAGTCTGGGCATACCAGATAAGCTGATGAGTTTGTTCTTGTTCTGAACAAGAAGTAGCCTTTGGATTGGAACTGCTGTTTGAGAAGGGAATAGAGAATATAAGTAATAGTTATGAGGATTTGGAGGCTTGGCTTTTCCATTTGCAGATAATATCCTGATAATTCTAATGAGTAATAGACTTGGATAACTTTTGATGAAAGAATACTTCCAAAACGACCACTTCCTGTTCTCATCTTCTAATGTGTAAATACTTACTGAGGTCCTCTTCTAATATGAATTTTCATTTATTAAGCAAATTTCACATTGCCTTGAAATGAATTCGGAAGAGAAGAAAAAACATAATGTACCCAGAGAATGAAAAACCCAGAGAGTTGTGCTCCTTTGTGTTAATTCTGAGAGCTTTCACAGTCCACGCTGGTAAACAGAAACTCTCTGCCACTTTGCTTCTGCTCCTCTTGGAGCATTGCTCTCATTTTCTTGAGGATAGATGGAGACTTGTCACCTCAGTTGTCATTGTCTTCCTCTTCTTCTTTTGTCTATGTGACTGACTGTGTGATTCTTATGAATGTCAAATTGGGGGTAAAAAATAACTCATTTTAGACTCTTGTGCCCATTACCCTTGTATGTTTGTATCTTTTAGTTTTCTCAAGTATGTTCTAAGCACAGAAGTATCTAAATGGGGCCAAAATTCAGACTTGAAAATGTTCTTTTAATAGCTTCTTAAAGAGCCACACTTTGGTATGAATTTTGGCACAGTAGAGTGACAAACTGACAGTTAAAACGCTGAATAACTTCAGTTAGTGTGGTATCAGATAGTTTTTAGAATATGTTTGTGATTGCTGAAAACAATTACAGTTTACCTCAAAATCTGGAAGTCTCTTTCCCCAAGTTAAGTGCCTGGCCAGCTGTCATAAATTACATATTACTTTATGTCTGTTTGTTTCTTAAAGGTTGTACATTCAAGATTGTGAAAATAAGGTGTTCTGTGTGAAGGCTGCCATGCCTGTGTGTAAATGAATCTGTTGAGTGCTGTATTTGCTCCAACAGCTTACTATAGAATGCTACTTGGTCATATCGTACTTATTACAGTTTTCACTTCAGGAGTGTAATAGGTAAAATTATCCTCAATCTGTATTGTAGTGGGCCCCATGTTTAGTCTTTCATCATCCTTTAAACTGCTGTGAATTTTTTGTCTTGACTTGAAAGCAAGGATAGAGAAACACTTTAAAGAGATAGTCTGGTTTTTTTCCATTCCGGAATTTGTGAGCATAGTCATGTTTTGCTTTACATTTACAGTCATGAACTCTTAAGCTGGCAGCTACAACCAAGAACCAAAAAAGGGTGCATTCTGCTTCTTGTAATTCATCTCTGCTAATAAATTATAAGAAGCAAGGATAATTAAATTAGAGAAAGTATTTAATTTGGGTGGTTTCTATAAACAAGAGACTATAATTCTTGTACATTATTTTCATCTTTGCTGTTTCTTTAAGAAACCTAATGTGCCACGAAATTATTTTAAGGTGTTTCTTGTAAGAATTGTTTTTAAAGTGTTCTTGTTATCAGAGTAATTGTAGATATATTTCAAAATATAACTGGTAATTTTTAAAGGCCTGAGTACTGACCTAAGAAGCAATTGTATGAATTCTCTGGAGGCAAGGGAGGATCTCAGTGGAAGTTGTATGACTTTTATATTTCTGTGCCATTAAATATAGGTAAAAAATGTCAATTGTGCAGTTCTGCTGTTTAAACAGGAACTATTGGCCTCCTTGGCCCTAAATGAAAGGGCTGATATTTTAAGTTGACTATTTTATTGTAAATTAATCCATTCTAATTTTTAAAACTTTGGTTGAATATTTTTCTTGTTAAATGTTTGAAAAATAAAAACTGGAAGTTCTTTGCTTAGTCATAATTGCTTTTACCACTGATTGCCTTTATTGAAAGTTAATATTTAATTCAGACGTTTGGATGTGACATTTGGACAATATTGGAAGATCTGAGTTCCTCATTTTGTCTCAGTATAAAATATGTCAGAGCCTGCTTTATTATGTCGGGGTGATTCAAACCTGTATGGCAGATTCTCACACATTAACATGAAGTGCTAAAAACTACCATTGGATCTTTTGGTCTATTTTTGTACTGCTCTACAGTCTACCAATCTTGGTGTAGGTTTGAGAGCGTTAAGTCTAGGAGCCAGAGAACATGGGCTCCAACTATAATTTTACTACTATAGCCAATAGTTTCCTCATTTTGCAAAATAGGGAAGTTGAAATAGGATATCTCAGATTTCCCAGTCCTAATTAAGGAGATATAAAAGAATGATTTCAAACCTAGGCTTTTTCTTTTTTTATTTTTATAATTATTTATTTATTTTTGGCTGCATTGGGTCTTCGTTGCTGCGTGCGGGCCTTTCTCTAGTTGCAGCGAGCAGGGGCTACTCTTCGTTGTGGTGCGCGGGATTCTCATTGCGGTGGCTTCTCTTGCAGAGCACGGCCTCTAGGCGCGCGGGCTTCAGTAGTTGTGGCTCACGGGCTCTAGAGCGCAGGCTCAGTAGTTGTGGCGCACGGGCTTAGTTGCTCCGCAGCGAGTGGTATCTTCCCGGACCAGGGCTAGGACCCTTGTCCCCCTGCATTGGCAGGCGGATTCTTAACCACTGCGCCACCAGGGAAGCCCAAACCTAGGCTTTTTCAGTCAACACTGGAATAGTGTGATTATGAGGACCTTGATTCATTCTACCAAAGACATCAATGTTTTTTTCACTTTTTTCTTAAAAAAGGCAGAAATGTGGATCATTAGTATTTGACTGAATTAAGCTTAAGGAAACCAAATTTAAGCAACAGGATACTGTTTCTAGCTACTAGGATGAGTGTAAATATTTTAGATTGTAAAATGTACATGAAAAACAGAATTATGGACTGGTGTATCTAAAACAGATTTCCTCCTAAGTTGGTCACCTATGCCTCATGTCAGATCTTTTGTTCTTCTAATATTTGACACCCTGATAACTGAGAAAGAGGAAAGGAGGAAAGGATATTATCTTACTGATGATAGCTGCTGTTCCGCTTGGCAAGATGAAGCTATAGAAAGACAAACAATGGAAAAGTAGCTAAGGAAACTTGTTTATTTGGAATATGAGGGGACCTCCTATGCATCTCTGTGCTATTAAGGTTTCTGTTCTCAGAACAAGCAATTCTCAAGGTCATTAAGAGGCCAACAGAATCGCATGAGTTGTTTGATATCCATAAATACATGTAAAGGGGCCAAGAGTTCGTGCTAGTGATCATTTTGCAAAACCACTTAGGACACATTTCAGATTATGTCCAGCTCCATGACTTGAGAGCACAGAGAAGCAGTGTCCAGTATCCAAAGGGGAAGGGTATGGTTTGTAATGCTTTCAGTATAACCCTGGGCAATGAAATGTGGTCCTATACCTTAATAAAAGAAAACTGGAACCCTAGGAACATCTGAAATACAGATAATAAATACCCTTTGCAGTGCCAAAAGGAACATCAAAGGTTCAGATTCAGGAACTGGGAGTAAACCTAGTGAATTAATCATTCTTATCTGGAGACATTGTATTCATGACTGACTTTGCGCTTGCACCAAAATAGTCTGCTTATTAACCTATAGTGGGGAGGGGGGAGATGTTCTTTTTCAACTTAATGTTTAATCTCTTCTTAAAACTAGTGTAAATACAGATTGCCATCAATTTGTAGGCACCGTATAAAGAGAACAAGGCGTAGTGCCTGCAATATTGGGGGTTAAAGTGATATTAAATGTTTCTAAAGATAGAGGCAGCTACCTGCCTAACCTGGGAGTATGTGGTTGTAACTGAGCAGTTGCCTACTAGAGCCTTCAGATGCAGTAGGCTGAAATATTATCCAGGCTAGGAAAAGCAATCTTCTAGAATGGCTACTGTGGAAATAATAAAATTGGCACTATTGACACTTGCTGGAGGAGCTTGAGATGTGTGAATTTTGTATGATATTTGTCTGAAGGAAAACTGCACACTATTTTAAAACATCTTGGTGTAAATCAATTCTCCACATGGACAATTGAGACCCAACATTAAAAAAAAATGTTTTTATTCATTGGAATGAAGTTTAAAGACATCTTGAAAATTAGATCAAGAAACCTCATAAGTTTATGCTTGTTTTGCCTGTGAATTTGAGGAGTTTGACATACGATATTAAAGCCTAGCAAGGCACATGAACTGAAGTTACCAAGGCCTGTTGCCCCATCGTTCTATAGCTGGTGTGACATTTCCTCTCAGAGAAACACATTTGGATTCCACTAGGAGGCATAGCCACATGCCCTAACAGAATGTTTTTGTTTCGTTGGCTCAGTACGTTTTCCTTATGACTTTCCTTCCTAACCCACGTAGCAGGTTTTTATTGAACCTACTATGTGCCTAAATGCTGTGCTGCTCTGGGCATACAGCAGTGAGCCACATAGGCTGGCTCCTCATTCGTCTTTTATATTGCATTGAGGAGAGATCTCGAAAACAAAAATTTCTTAGTTGCAATTTGGTGATTGTTTCAAAGGAGAAGGATATTGTTTACTGAGGCATAACTTGCTTAGCCTCACTCTTCCAGTTGTCGCCCTCATGACACTGCCCAGGGTCACCTCCTACCCAATTTTTCTGTGAATAACCAAGGCTACCCAAGATGCACAGAGCCTGTCTCATGCCTCATTGCCACTTGGGTCTCTCCTTTTCAAGTCAAGGCTCTCATAAAAGGAAACTGTATATTGCTTCACAATTTCAAAGTGCTCTTACATAAATCTCGTTTAACCCTCCACAAAAGCCATGTAAAAGAGGAATGGTCTACATTTTACTGATGTGAATCCTGTAAAATTAGATGGGTTTATTCCAGGTTTGAACCTAGGTCTTCTGACTTCAGATACTGTGCTCTTTTTGGTTCACTAGTGCAATTGACCCTTGAACAACATGGGTTTGAAGTGGGCAGGTACACTTTTAAGCAGATTTTTTTTCAACAGTAAATACTACAGTACTACACTCTAAGGTTGGTTGAATCCAGGGATACAGAGGAATCGCGGATACTGAGGGCTGACTGTAAGTTATAGACGGGTTGTCGACTTCATGGAGAGTAGGCGCCCCTAAGGCCTGCATTGTTCAAGGGTCAACTGTAGCTTTCAAACCATGCTGCTCAAAGCCCTTGGAGTATGGTAAAGGAGATTTCCGGGAAAGCCTAAGTGATCAGGGCTCTGCTCGTCTTCCCTTGTCCTTCAACACAGGCTCCACTTTCATCTGTTTGGGGGTGGGGTTATTTTGGCATATTATCCAGATATTTCATTTTTATAATCTTAAATATCAAGAGTGACAATTTTTAATTCAACTACCTGAAGTTTTGTATGAATTGACCTTGTGTTTCAAGTAGTCAATTTTATTAATTTTATAAGAGTAGTAACAGAACCTGGTTTTTAAAAAATTGAAAAAAATTGGAAACCACACATAGAATTACTTAACATTTACACAAAGTTAATCACTTTAAACTTCTGTTGTTCTTCTGTCATCTTTTGTGGTGATTTTTATGCACAGAGTCACATGCTGTGTGTGTGTGTGTGTGTGTAAGATTGAATCATCTAGTGTTCTGTACCTTACTCATTTCACTTAATAACATAAATTGCACACCTTTTCTAAGCCAGCATATTTACAACAACATCTTTCTTTTGAAAACTATATAGTACTGTAATTTATATAACCTTTTCTCTGCTGACAAACACATGGGCTGTTTTTTATTTGATGGTTGATTGTTTTGTCATATCAAATATCATTATATTCAACATATATTTGCCAGTATATGCACAGAGCAAATTCCCACAAAATAGTTGGGTTTACACTTGATGCATTTTTAATTTTTTTTAATTTTTAATTTTTTTTTTTACTTGACTGTGCCGGGGCTTAGTTGCAGCATGCTTGTGGTATGTGGGATATTTTTTTTTTTTTTTTTTAGTTGCAGTATGCGAGATCTAGTTCCCTGAACTTGGGAGTGCAGAGTCTCAACCACTGGACCACCAGGGAAGTCCCCAATACATTTTTTATTTTAATGCATATGGCCTTAATTGTCTTCCAGATACTGTTTTATCAATAGATTCCTTCCAACAGTGCATGAGAAGATGTTTTATCCCAGACCCTAGGCAACCCTGGGATATATCAAAATTTCAAACTCTTACCAGATTAATAGGTAAACTGTGATATTTTTGTCTACTGTCCAATTTGCATATCTTTAACTATAAGCACTTTCATTTGTTTTTCATTTTAGGCTTCCACTCAAGATGTAGTTTGAAGATTCCATAAGTAAAAGTTTAAACACCCCTTGACTTCGATCTACTCCTACAACCATCTGTCAAGCTGGGAATCACTATGCTGCATCCTCATGTCTAGTCCAGAACCCAATACTCTAGGCACAATCACGGTCATTGCACAACTAAGCAAGAGTGAGGCCGTAAATGACACCATGGTTAAGAGCCCCGACACAGGAGCCATAATTCCTGGGCTTAAATCCCATCTCTACCACTTAAACAACTGTGAGACCTTGGGCAAGTCAGTCTCTGTACCTGAATTTCTTCAACTGTAAAATGGAGGTAATAATAGTTCCTCAAAAGACTGTTGTGAAAATTAAATGAATTAATATATGTTAAACAACAACAACAACCTTGGAACAGTGTTGAGCACTGTTATTATTGCACAGACCCCACGGCATGCCTCCCTCTCTCTCCTGACAGAATGCAGTATACTTTTGATGTTTAGATTGCTTTGTTAAAAGCAAATTGCTGAATTTTAGTTCCATGCAAGAGGCAGGAAACAAAGTCAGTTTGTCTCACGGAAAAGGATGAGTCTTACGAAGTTGACTTCTTTATTTTTAGGCATGTATGGGAAATTATGACCGACAGGGAAATGAAACTAAATACAGTAAAATACCATAAGATTTCAGAATTTGATTATATTCCAAACTAAAACTCATTCCTTAGGTTTAAGGTAACTTTTATATACCTCTAGCAGGGTGACAAAAATAGTCCATAGCTGCTGCTGGCAAAAGGACTGTATTCCAAACCAGAGGTTGTAATGAACTCAGAACTGCTGCCACTG